TCATCAAGACTTCCCCAGAAGACACGGAAGATCCACCTGAAGGCTTACAGTGGTAGACCATATCATGTTGGCGCTGATTCACTATTTACACAATGTGTGGAAAATAGAGTTGGCCCTCATCAATCTATGCTGCTGGGGAAACGACCAGCAAGCAATGTTAATGTGTCTATTCCAACCAAGCGTGTGCGTACTGCTTCTAGGCAGAGAGTTCTTAGTCCCTTCGGTGCATCAACAGCTGGATGTGTTCAGTTTCCAACCAAAACAGATGCTTCAAGTGGTGATAGCGGTTCATTTCAGGATGATCACAGTACATTGCATGGTGGATCCCATATGAATAGCTTGGAAGTTGAATCCGTGGGTGACTATGAAAAGCATTTATTGTTCGACTCTGCTGAAGTATCAAAACCTAAAAAGAAGAAAAAAGCAAAGCATCTGGTACTTGACAAGTTGCTATGTCTCAGAAGATTAATTAAGAAATTTGAATTATATGCCGTGCACCTTTTCTAAGATTGCCAGCTGTTGTTTGCATTCTCATTGTTGCAGGGTTCTGCATATGGGCAGAGATGGCATGTTGATTCTAATTATCAAACCAACCAGGTAATTTCCTTTTTCCTTTCAACATTGAGACTCAGTAATCCACTGAAATGTGATGATATTCAGAGGCGGACCAAGGATTTCAAAGTCACTAATGCACCACCACTTTTAGTCTAAATCTATCATTTGCCATAGAAACCCGATAAGGCCGTGCATTTTGTTGGGTTTGTCAGTTTTGGATAAATTTCTGTTCATGTTATTAGCTTAACCCTTACAGAATAACAATAAGTTCGATTTTCTCTCTCTTTATTCACAAATATTGAATAGAAAAAATAAGAAGCCAAGCAAGTTCCTCTATCAATTAGATGATTTGATGAAATGAATAACTCAATTTTGGTACGTTTTGTGTTAAGTTAAATTAATTGACCTTTAAATTGTTGATATATTTATTTATCTCAAATTCTGAAGAATTCAATCTTTGTCTTGCAAAATGAAAAGGGGTCGACTTTTTTGTTAATATTGAAGGGATTTTTGAGTAGAATAGACTGAAAACAAGAATGGAGGAAAAGAAAAGAGAAGAAAAAAAGAGGTTTTGCTTGTTGAAAAGACAAAAAACTACAAAAGGACTTTAAAAGAAAAGAAGAAAACAAAGAAAAGATAAAAGTAGAGGGGTCCTACTGGTTGAAAAAACAAGAAAGAAGAAAAGTAAAAAGGAAAAAGGAGAAGATGAGTCCTGGTTGAAATAAACTTGAACTCCGTTCTTAGTAAATCCGAACTCAAGCACAAATTTTTGCAGAGCCTACGGGTGCTTAGGCACCTTAGGTGATATGTGTAGGTCCCTTTGATGATACTGAACTTGCTAGTTAGACCTCTATTAGGAAATGATCCACTAATTGCTGCCTTAGAATAACTTTATAATTGAGTTGTTTTCTTTTAACATAGTGCTTCAATCTTTTTCTTCCTTTTCTGTA